GTCCCTCTGCCTACTTGTGATCTCTCTCTCTGTCAGATAAATAAAATCTTAAAAAAAAAATTACTGGCTTGTTTCCTTATTTCTGTGTACTAAATGTATTTTTATAAGAGCTGAAAATAATTTTCAGCATCGGGATATCTTATATATTTCTTTAAGGTTGGTTACCTTTCTTTCGTTCTTTCTTTTTTTTTTTTTTTTTAGATTTTTTTATTTATTTAATTGAGAGAGAAAGAGAGCAGGAGCAGGGCGTGGGGCAGGGGTAGAGGGGAAGCAGACTCCCTGCTGAGCAGGGAGTGCAATATTCAGGGACTCTTGAATCATGACCTGAGTGTGAATCATAGCCTGAGCAGGGATCATGACCTGAGCTGAAGGCAGACGCTTAACTGACTGAGCCACCTAGGTGCCTAAGGGATTGGTTACTTCCAGAATCATGAAAAAGTTTTTGTGTATTTTTGCTTTTACAGAGATGTCAAATGGTAAAATAAATCTCAACATTATTTCCATGGTTTTAATTATTTTTTTAATTATAAGGTAGTATAATTTTTAGATTTATGTATCTGATGCATTGTCAAGATGAGAATTCTAGTAACTTATAAGAAAGTCTTAAAATGGAGATAGTTGTCATTTGCTGTGGAGTCAATAGCAAATAAAAGAGAAATAAATAGGGGCGCCTGGGTGGCTTAGTGGGTTAAAGCCTCTGCCTTCGGCTCAGGTCATGATCCCAGGGTCCTGGGATCGAGCCCCACATCGGGCTCTCTGCTCAGCGGGGAGCCTGCTTCCTCCTCTCTCTCTGCCTGCCTCTCCGCCTACTTGTGATCTCTGTCAAATAAATAAATAAAATCTTTAAAAAAAAAAAGAGAGAAATAAAGAGTAATAAAAAGAGAAATTATCAACAAATATTTAGCTTTTCTACCCCTCCCAGACCATAACCCCCTCACCAAAACATATTGTCAGATAGTTGTAGAGAGGAAGTAAAAATGGAAATTCTCCGCTTTTTAAATCAAAACTGTAATTAAAGTACTACATATCAAAACCTGTAATGAAAGCCACAGCAGTATTCAAAGAGAAATTTATAATTTTAAATTAATTACTACTGAACAGGGAAAGAGAAGAACGTTATATGTTCATCTTCTGTGCTAGGAAGAGACAATTATAAACTAAACTCCAGAAGGAAGAGAGAGTTAATAAATTAATGAAATGTAAAAAACCCAACCCTTTTTGAATACTGAGCAATGAAGACAAAACCTTATTCTTTTGTGAAGACTAAAAGTAGATTAATTTTTTATTTATAAATAATGAGTATAAATAAACTACATAAGGATTGAAAAAGGAGACAAAGATCCAGAGGAGATTCTTTAAGAGAACATTATTATATATAACTTTATACCTATGATGTCCATCTTATTTAGTAAGGAAGTAGAAAGCCTAAGATTGTAAGAAACTCTGTTCAGGTTATAACCCATATCATATTTAGTAGGGATCATGGAAGTATTTCCATTGAAGTTGAGACTAGGACAAAGGCGTCTGTTATCTATGCTGCTATTTGGAGTTTTGGTGGCAGTCTGAGTAATAAAATAACGACAGGAAAAAGAAATTAAGAGTAATGATTGGGAACACAATAGAATTAATTTGGCAAACTGTAGAGAAAGTAAGAAGTTTAGAAACTACCTGATTGAAGAAAAACTTTCTAATAGTTTTTCTATATATCAACAATGAACAATGAGAAGATATGAGATAAAGGTTTCACATATGGTAGATATTTAAAAATGAATAAGTAGTTAAGAATAAAAGAAAAGAAAATTTTAAGACCACTGTGAGGAAAAAGGACAGAAAAAGAAAATCTGAGTCAACAAGTCAACTGTAAATGTACTATGTTCCTAGATAGGAAGACTTGATCCCTTTCAAATTATTGTACAAATTCAAAATACTCAAAATTTCAAGTGGATTTTTTTAATGGAAATGGAAAAGCTGTCAACACACCCTGGAATACAGTATTTCATTGGTTATAATTTATAAAATGCTGTTTTAAGTAGTTTTAACTGAAAATAGCCCCCCCACCAAGTAAATCCATGATTGTCTAATCCAAGAGACAGTTTTGAATAATGGATATATATATCCATTTATTCAGTAAATTTTTTTTAAAGATTTTATTTATTTATTTGAGAGAGAGACAGTGAGAGAGAGAGCATGAGTGAGGAGAAGGGCAGAGAGAGAAGCAGACTCCCCATGGAGCTGGGAGCCCGATGCGGGACTCGATCCTGGAACTCTGGGATCATGACCTGAGCTGAAGGCAGTTGTCCAACCAACTGAGCCACCCAGACGTCCCTATTCAGTAAATTTTTTGAATGCTAATATTTTGTTAAGTCAGACTTGATGCTTGATTAGCTCTTTTCTCAGATAATTATTTCCTAAGAGGTTCCTTGGTGCATAATTTATGCAAGGAAATCCCTGGTTTGCCTAGCTTGCTAAATAAGGCTCAGTGTGTCTGAATTGCAACAATTTATGTGACTTATATTTAAATAGCTACCCTTATGCCTATATAAGAAATAGATATGCCTAAGAAAGAAACCAAGAGCAAAATGAAATAAAAGTAGTAAAGACATAATAATAGAATATCCCTTTCCTAGACTAAAATCTGACTTGTTTATATAGTTTCTTAAAAAAACTCACATAATACTTACTAAAATAGAGGCCTAGTCTTAGACACATTATGGCAGATATTTTGAATTACAATTTTGAATTACACAGTTTCCTAGATTAAAGTAAGAAAAAGGCTGGTTTTTTGTTTATTTTTTTATAATATTAAATGGCAGACAGCAAGTCAGTGTCCAGATTTTGATTGATAGCTTAATTTTTTAAGTGATAAAATCCTTTTTAAAAAGCATTTAAATATTACAGATGTATATGACTTGAAAGTGAAATCCTCTTTACATTCTCCCTCACTGCCTACCAATTCTAACCTCTAGAAGTAACCACTTTTAACTTTGGTATTTATTCCTCTAGACCTTTCCCTTTCTATATATATATAGAATGTACAAAATGAGTTTTAAGTAAAAGTAGTGTAATAATACAAACTATTCAACTTAAAGACTACCCACCAGGTAGACTCAAGAATGAAAAACATTCTTGCATAAACTGTGGTACAGAAAACACCTTCCCCTATATCTTTCTTGAAAAAAATTATTTGAAATATTTTAATCATAGGAAGGTAAATCCATATTAAGAATATAAAATTATGCTGTATGTCTTTGGTATTAATAAATATGCATAAATACTCAAGTCCTAAGGAAAATCTTCATCCTCAGGGTCATATGTGATTGAGTTCATAGGTTCTCTCAATGGACTTAAATACTTTGTTAGGTTTGGGGTCTCCTTCAGAAGTGCCTACTTTCTGAAAGAAACTTTAAAAGTAAATAATATCATTTTCTTTGTATGATATGCTTATATTGGATACAAGAATTTTTCTGGAAGAGTTCTTCCTTAGGTGGGCCTCATGAACACACTCAGAAGTTTAATTTAAATTTCTTGAAAATATATTTAACATAAAATGGCAGCAGCAGTGGGGTGTTTGGATGGTTCAGTGAGTTGAGTATCTCTTGATTTTGGCTCCGGTCATGATCTCAGGGTTGTGAGATCCAGCTCCCGCTTTAGGCTCTGTGCTGAGCAGGGAGTTTTTTGAGATTCTTTCTCTGTTCCTTCCTCAGCTTGTACATGTGCTTGTGCCACTCACTCTCTCTCTAAAAAACAAAACAAAACAAAAATAAAAGCTTAAAAAAATTTGGCAGCATGGGGTGCCTGGGTGGCTCAGTGGGTTAAAGCCTCTGCCTTCGGCTCAGGTCATGATCCTAGGGACCTGGGATCAAGCCCCACATCGCGGGGGTGGGGGGTGTCTCTGCTCAGCAGGGAGCCTGCTTCCCCCTCTCTCTCTGCCTGCCTCTCTGCCTACTTGTGCTCTCTGTCAAATAAATAAATAAAATCTTAAAAAATGGCAGCAGCAGTTAACAGCAACAAAAACAACTAGTTGAGTATTACATCTGTACTTTAGTAAAAGACTTAAATACAAAATAATCATGTGGTAATGAGATAATTTTTTTTTCTTTCCTGTTTTTTTCCTTAAAGTTTCTGTGAATATGTATTTGAGCAAATATGTGATCAAGCAGCTTATGTAAGCAGTATAAATGATGAATAATTTTACTGAAATGTTAATAGTAGCAAGGTAACATTTTTGACAGAGTATTAAAATTAACATAATATGAAAGTGTTTCAGAGTAATATTAAATGACCACACATACTCTGCTGTTGAATGTACAAATTAGCAAAGCCTTTCTGAAAAAGAAATTGTCATTAAATATTTGATAATTCTTAGATAATTTAGATATAAATTAGCATTTAGATAAGAATCATTTAGACAAGAGCTTTAAAAATATTTTCTGTCTCAGAAGTTATATTTTGTGAGTGGTACCCAAGGAAAGAATTTTGAAAGAACAAAATTGTTAATTGCATTATTTGACTCTAGCAGTACATTGACAAACACTGAACATTTCCACTGGGAAATAGAGAGTATAAACAATGATTCAGTATATTACACATATATACATAAGGCATGGCATTGGGTCTTTTATGATTTACAAGTGTGTTTAGTACAGAATTATCAGAAAATTGTATAGTTACAACATACTGAAAAATAACAATAATAAAAGTCCCCACAATTACATATGCTCAGAAATGTACTGGTTTGTGAGTTCTAGGAGGGAAGAAGCTAACATTCTAAAATTAAGAGTGTTTACCTCTGGGTATTGAGTTCAGAGGTCATTTTAGTTTTCATTATGATTTTCTATATTTTCCAAATATATATTTTATAATCAGCTTGCCTTATTTTCTTTGCTGTTGGTGATCTTCTCAGGATCCTTTCATTTGTGGGTTTCTTGTGATGTATATATGAGTTCCTTTTTAATCCCATTATGTTACTTGATTTCTGTTTCATTTTTGCTTTTTTTTAGGCCAAGATAGCCAGGTTAACCAAACGCTTTGGAGCAGCCAAAGAAGATCTTAAGAAAAGACAAGAAGTAAGGATATCTATTCTTGCATAATTAATATTTAGTTTTAAGTGGTAATCTTAGGAAATGGTGAGTTAGGAGGAAAGTCTTCCTTTATTACAGGTCTGAAATTTGCTTTCATTCTGTGTACTTCCTATATGTTCTTTCTGGAGCCACAACTCTAGAGCTAATTATTAATCCTTTTCTAATCCTCATTTACTGTTTGCATGTATCAACACTTATATTAATCTATTTTACAGCATTCTGGAAGTTATATTTTCATTTCATTTTTAAAATTATCTTTGGGATTTGTCTTACCATGTTTTTTTCTTTTTACATTCTTGTCAATGTCCCAGTCAAGTCTCTTATTTCCGCCAAACTATGTTAGTTAGTGTTCTGTTACCTGGAGTAGTCCTCTTCTCTTCTTTGCTTCCACCATGTAGTTAAGTCCAAACATTGTAGCATAACATAAACTCCAATGTAAAGCCTACCTTCTGCTTTTTGTTATTTCCTTAGTTATTCTGTAATACATACTTTTAATATAGCACTTGTATATTGCATTATAGTTTTTAGTTTAATTTCTTTCTTTTCCTCTTGACTTTTTTTCCTATTTGAGCAAATTATATTTCTTTGTCGTGAGAGCTCCATTGTGTGGCACTTAATAATTGCCACTAAAATTATTTCAGTAGTAATCATTATTACTATAGGATTTTTCTGTCTTCATTGTGACATCTTCTTTACTTGACTTTAAATAAAGTTATTTTGAAATAATTATAGATGCACAGGAAGTTGCAATGTAGTACATAGACTCCTGTGAACTTTTCACTTAGCTTTCCCCAGCGGTAAAATCTTATATAACTGCAGTATAATATCAAAACCAAGATATTGATAAAATTCTGTTAAATAGTCTGTAGACATTACCATTTCTCACCAGTTTTTATATGAATTTATTGTGTGTATATGTACACATATGCAGTTCTATGCAGTTTGATCCCATGTATAGATTTGTATAACCTCCACCATAGTCAAGGTCTAGAACTGTTCCATTACCATGAAGGGACTCCCTAATGCTGCGTTTTTACAGTTTAAACCTACCTCTTTTCCCCCCACACCCACCTGTTCCTGTCCCCTGGCAACTGCTAATCTGTTCTCCATCTCTGTTGTTTTTTTTTTTTTAAAGATTTTATTTATTTATTTGTCAGAGAGAGAGAGGGAGAGAGAGCAAGCACAGGCAGACAGAATGGCAGGCAGAGGCAGAGGGAGAAGCAGGCTCCCCGATGAGCAAGGATCCCGATGTGGGACTCGATCCCAGGACGCTGGGATCATGACCTGAGCCGAAGGCAGCTGCTTAACCAACTGAGCCACCCAGGCGTCCCTCCATCTCTGTTGTTTTTACTTAACTTTGTAAACTCTGGTTGCTCTTTTTTCTTGAGCAATTGATAGTTTTTATCTTTGTTCTACACAGACTAATCTCACCAAACCTTCCTTTGGCCATTCCCAAAGATTCTTTTTATTATAATTATACAATTTCCTGATTAACTTTTTCAGCTTCATTTATTTGTCATAATATAAAAACGCTATTTTATTTTTCAGATTAGAAAATTGATGTAAATCTTTTTTAAAAAAAGATTTGATTTATTTGAGAGAGAGAGAGTGAGAGAGAGAAAGTGTACAAGCAGAAGGAGAGAAAGAAGGGGAAGCAGGCTCCCTGCTGAGCAAGGAAGCCTATGTGGGGCTCCATCCCAGTACCCTGGGATCATGACCTGAGCCGAAGGTAGACATTATGAGCCACCCAGGTGCCCTGATGTAAACCTTTTTTTAAAACCTTTTTTATTAGCTGTGCTTGAACCAAAGAAAGGGCTTTACAATTTTTCCTTTGTTTTTGTACAGTACAGATTTCCACTTCTTCCCTTTTATCCTTATGTTTGAACTAAGCAGCATGCTGCCCACCATATACTTCCCAGTGTTTGTCTGTTTTGCTTTCAGAACTACTTTCTAGTTCTTCTTCTTTACATATTTAAAAGTGACAGACAGAGACACACTTTAAGAATGATATGAAAATATTACAATCCCTGAAAGGTTTGTTATGGAGAGCTGTAAGTATTATGGAAACAGCAAATACTGTATAATTCCTAAAGATTAGAAAAGGTTAATTTGAACAATTAGGATATGTGGTGCTTGAAGAAAAATATTGAGGTGGTCTTCAAGCTTTCACATTTTGTTCCTTCGTTAATTAGCTTTTGGGTAAGGCCAGTTTTACATTGCCAAACTGGGACATCTTTCTACCCATTCTTGTTAAATTTTCTTTTTGTGAGAGATTTCTAGAAATCTCAAGAATTTGTTCACTCATGTCCTAATTCTGTTTAATTATGGCATCCAATATAATTTTACATCTGTGTCATGCTAGGTTTTAAAAACAAGAGAAATACAGAATGAAAGTTTAAAACTTTAGTTCTCCCCCTTATTAAGATAAATAAATAAACAGTAATACTTTAAATGCTTTTCTTCTATTTAGATTTGCTCCTTGATCCTCTGATATTAACCAGTTAAAAACAAACCCCACCATGCAGGTTTGTCTTAAAACATTTTCTATTTTAATTTTTAAAAGAGCAGAAAACCCTCATGGGCAGTTTGCTGTTAAGTCCACATTTATAATCTAGTCTGTTACTGCCTTATGACTGTTATCTCTAACTTCTGTCCTTTCTAGTTCTTACTATAAAAGAAATATGAAGATACTTCTCATCTTTTATGAGAAATCAGTGATGTAATTGAGTAAAATTTTAGATTATTCTACATTTTTTTAATTAAATTCTTAAAATTGTTTTACTTGTGCTGCATACACATAATCTAAAATGTATCATTTTTAACTTCACAATTCAGAAGTATTAACTGTATTAACACTGTGTAATAGATCTTTAGGTGTTTTTCATTTTGTAAAACTTGATGCTCTGCTACCGTAGAACATCTCTCATTTCCTCTCCCCTCAGCACTCAGCTACTTTTTGTTTCTGTGATTTGCTACTTTAGAGTCTCATAAAGGAAATCATTATAGTGTTTGGGTTTTGTTTAGTTTTTGACTTTAGTTTTTGACTGATACCTGTATTGTAGCATGTAACAAGATTCCCTTTTCAAGGCAGAATAATATTCCACATTATGTATATGGTATATACTGCATTTTCTTTATTCATTCATTTATTGATGGATATTTGGGCTGCTTTCATTTCTTGGCTTTTGTGAATAATGCTACAATGAACATCTGTGTGTAGATAACTCTTTAAGATCCTGGTTTCAAGTCTTTTGGATATCTACGCAAAAGTGAACTAAACTAGTTTAGTTTTTTGAGGAGTTACCATAGTATTTTCTAAAGAGGTCACACCATTTTATGTGTTTTTTTTTTAAAGATTTTTATTTATTTATTTGACAGAGATCACGAGTAGGCAGAGAGGCAGGCAGAGAGAGAGGAAGGGAAGCAGGCTCCCTGCTGAGCAGAGAGCCCGATGCAGGGCTCGATCCCAGGACCCTGGGATCATGACCTGAGCCGAAGGCAGATGCTTTAACCCACTGAGCCACCCACGTGCCCCATGTTCTTTTTTTCTTTTTTTTTTTTTTTTTTAAGATTTTATTTATTTATTTGACAAAAAAGAGATCACAAGTCGGGGGGTGGGAAGCAGGCTCCCTGCTGAGCAGAGAGCCCGATGCAGGGCTCTATCCCAGGACCCTGAGATCATGACCCAAGCTGAAGGCAGAGACTTTAACCCTCTGAGCCACCCAGGCGCCCCACCAGTTTACATTCTTAGCCAGCAAGGCATGGGGTTCCTATTTCTCTACATTCTTGCCAACACTTGTTAATTTCTCTTTTGTCATAGTGGCCATGCTAATGAATGTGAGGTGGCATTGCACTGTGGTTTTGATTTGAATTTCTCTAATAATAGTGGTGGTGAGCATCTTTTCATATACTTGTTGACTATTTTGCATATCTTTGGAGAAGTGTAGAAGTGTCTGTTTAGGTCCTTTGCCCGTTTTTTAATCAGGTCACTTTAAATCGTTAAGTTATGGGACTTTATATATTCTGGATGGATGTTAACCTCTTATCAGATATATGATTTGCAGTTATTTTCTCCTGTTCCATAGGTTTCCTTTTCACTCTGATTTTTTTTTATTTTGATGTGCAGAGGTTTCTAAGTTTTGATGTAACCTTCTTTGTTTTGCTTTTGTTACCTGTGCTTTTGATGTCAAATCCAAGAAATAATTGCAAAATTTGATGTCATGAAACTTTCCTCCTATGTTTTCTAATAGGAATTTTTAGTTTTGCTCTTATATTTAGGTCTTTGATTTATTTTGAACTAATTTTTGTATATGGTTTAATGGTCCAACGTTAGTCTTTTGTGTTTGGCTATCCAGTTTTCATACCATTTGTTAAAAGACTGTACATGTGAGAGTTTATTTCTGGGCTGTTCTGTTCTGTTGGTCTATGTGCCTGTCTTTATGCCACAACCACACTGTTTTTGATTACTGTATCTTTGTGTAATATGTTTTCAAATCAGGAAGAACTTTGTTCTTCTGCCCTGGAGATTCCATATGGATTATAGAATGCTTTTTTCTATTAATGCAAAAAATGACATTGCATTTTCATAGAAATTACATGGAAACTTTTGATTACTTTGGGTAGTACGGACATTTGAACAGTATTAAGTGCTCCAGTCCATGAACATGGGGTATCTCCATTTATTTGTGTCTTTTATTTCATTCTACAGTATTTGATGTTTTCAGTTTAAAGGTCTTTTGCCTTTTTGGTTACATTTACTTTCAAATATTTTATTCTCTTTAATGATATTGTAATGGGATTATTTTCTTAATTTTTTTCTCAGATTGTTTGTTGTTAGTATATAGAAGTATGATTGATTTTTCTTGATGATGATTTTTGATCCTGCACCATTGCTAAATTCGTTTGAACTTTTTTGTGTGGACTCTTGAGAACTTTCTTTCTTTTTTTTTTTAAGATTTTATTTATTTATTTGACAGACTGTGAGG